CCAGGGGACCAGAGGACCACAGGACCAGGACATGGGACCAAAGGACCAGCAACCAGACAACCAGGGGTCAGAGGGGGTTTCGAGGAATAGAGGTCGGCCTATGAGATGTGCACAGTTCACTTACCGAGGCTGCTCCAGCCCTTGTCCCTGGCACAGGGGACAAGGAGTACAACCGCATCAGAGAAGAAGCTGCCAGGAGAATTAGGCCAGAAGGGACCCTCACGGCAGCGGAGGACCTGAGTCTCATAGCCGCTTAGCGCGACGCCTGCGCCAGACCCCCCCACTCAGTCACAGGGGCTGGAAGCCGACGCAACGGGCCCACCGACAGCACCTGCAGAAGGGGCCGACCCGGCCAGGCAGTGCTGGCCGTCTCCGTGAGCCCAGCGGAGAATTATGTCTACACACCCTTGTTCCACGATCCACCCGCAGAAAGCGGATCTTGACGAAAACGGCCTCACGGCACAGGATCGAGAAGACCTGCGAGTCCTGCAAAACACATATGATCGGATGACAGAGAGGTGGAGGACCCTCTCTCCGAGAAGCCGCAATCGCAGGCTCCTGAGTCTGGTTGCACACGGGTCTGTCGCACTTTCCGGGATCCTCCAAATCTCCGTGGCTACCGAACCACGAGACCCAGAGGGCGGGTAAGGGGAAACGTCCCCGTTACCCTGAAGGAGCCCTGCGGCCGTCTTCCATGACCGCCCGTGCAGACCAGAAGTATCAGGAGGATCTGGCCTCAGGCATTCCTGAACCGGAAGCACTCCGCCGCAGACACAAGAATCGCTTCCGCGCCTTGGCGCACAAGTTCAGGACTGGTACAGAAGTGGCGCCCAAGCCCTTCGGAGCGCGCACCTCCGGCCAGCTCCCACCGCTCCAGTCGCGAGGGAAACTTCACCGGGAGAACCTCCTCTGACGGCTTAGACGATTGGAGTCTCGAGGCATCTTCCCGACAGCTGAGGAGAACAATCAAGCTAGTTGTTGAACTACCTCCAGGACAACTACCCGCCAGGCTGCCAGCGAGAGCGACAGCCCAGAGAGGCAGAGGGCACTGGGACGGACCGTCCGGATGCGGGCGAGGCAGACCCGGACACGCTCCCGGAAGCTGGCCGACCGAAGTCTAAAGCAAGGTCATCAGCTGGTTCTGCGAATACTGGGAACGTCGGCTCCGAAGGACTGCAGCAGTCAGCCGACTCAGCGGCCGCACCGGCCCCATCGGAGGAGGTCCCGATGGAGGTCGAGGCTGCCCCTGAGCTGGGCGCTGACGAGTCCCCCGAAGAGGAGGTTACCCTCGAGGCCGAGATCATTCCGGACTATGACCTCCCAGACTATGACGAATAAAGTAGGCTACGTAATTCTGGGTCCATGGAATTGCAATCATGTGCGCCCTGGAGGGGTGCACATGGCTGTCTTGTATCTTAAGGACGTACCGTCCAGAGCCGTAGTCGCTTTGCTTGTACAGGCCGCGTGTACAGTTCGGATTTTTTCCTTCGGTAGGACCGTGGGACGCTCCGTCCGGACTAGGGCGGGCTCTGGCCCTAATTAGGTGCATCCCTGTTCCCATGTGGATCCGGGAAGGGGCCAATGGCCCCCCTTTTTGCTAAACTCTGTAGGCAGCTATCGAGACTGCGTGCGACGCGAAAAGAAGGGATGCGTGCAGGTTTTTGGGCGGGGTGACTATGTCATAATTTGACTGAGGGTTCCCCTCGTACTCGGAACACGAAGTGGGGGGAACCTCCCGTGAGGTGCCACCGAGCCAGTCGCCGCCACCTGCAGCAAAAAGTGAGCATCCTGTGCGTTACATGGCATGTCTGCATGTACAGTTTTGGCAAGTAGCGAAAAGCAGGCAGAACATTGAGAGTAGGTGGGGTTAGTTGCAAGGGTAGGGTTAAAAAGCTTCTGAAAATATGGCAAGAAGCCTGTTGACCATGGTCTACCCAAAAAAACTCATGCTTAAGGCCGACTTTGTGATCCCCACTGTTGGTATGGAAGTCTATGTGCGAGATGGAGAGCTGCATTGTTTCACAATCGACCCCTAGGTGAAAACACTCACTATGCAACACGATGCCGCCAAACTTTTGTCCCATAGTATTCGTTTGGACCGGCCCCATCTGCACGCTCAAGCTTTCGACCTCAGCGCAGCGAGCCAAACGCGACCGTTGTCAAAGATCTTGCATCACGCCGACTTGGGCGGTCTGAAAAAGCGACAGCTGCTGGAGTGCGCAGGTTTTCGGTACTAGCTTGGGACATACATGGGCGCTGCCGATACTCAAGGCAAACAAGCCATCATGGCTGCAAACACGAACATGCAGCAAAAGTTGCCTCCGTGGCGTCCTACAGTACCGACTGTCTGTGAGTGGCCTTGTGGGCTTTGATCGATTTTGTAGATTCCAAGTGCTGGGGCGCAGAGATTGTCTGTCTTCATGGATATCCCAAGTAACTAGTGCCGCTTGCGAAGCACTAAGTCCCAATAAGACCTCTTCATAACAACCCTCACTCATCACTCAGCGCATATCATGCAGACTAACTAACTTCTCAAGACATCGGCCTCCAATTTGTACAACCACTCCTGGCTTGAGTGTTGGTCATGCGAGACAGCGCGGAGCCGTGCAACTGTACATCGTCAGAATTAGACATGCATGGTGAATTCTCGCTGCCTATCGAGATCCGCCAATTCGAAGGTTTTCACCCTCGCCTACCAGTCGAGGCCACGTATGGCCCGCATAGCCCGCCCTCAGTGGAGGTGATGTGGCCCTCGTAGCAACGGTGCCTTCGGTGGCCACGCCAAACTGTCAGTGACTTCCTCTGCACTGGTCTGAGCACCACACGCATTGCCCGCCATGTCATTGGCGGCACTCAATTGCAACTTGGCTTGAAATACGTGGAACTCAAACCAAGGCCAGCTTCGAGTCGGATTTTGCCAAGGCACACCCCAAACACTTCGCACGATGCGTCCAAAGTACTTGTCATCCTGAATCCTGAAGGCGGCAAGCTGCAGCCCATTCCACACAGCAAGGACTTCAGATTCCTGGTTGTGGTGGTGTTGGTGGTGTTGGCGGTGCTGGCGGTATTGGCGATGTTGGCAGTGTTGGCGGTGCTGCGGTGCTGCGGTGCTGGCGGTGCTGCTGCTGCTGCTGCTGCTGCTGCTGCTGCTGCTGTTGCTGCTGCTGTTGCTGTTCTTGCTGTTCTTGCTGTTCTTGCTGCTGTTGCTGTTCTTGCTGCTGTTGCTTCTGTTGTTGCTGTTGTTGCTGTTGTTGCTGTCGTTGCTGTCGTTGCTGTCGTTGCTGTTGTTCTTCTTGTTGTTCCAGCAGGAAGCCTCTCATGGGCCACCTTTCACTAGCAATTCCTGTTGCGTGGTCTTACCCCGCCCACATCCAGGGAACAGACCCAGCTGAGATGGTTTCGTAATACCTGGCAAAGTCCGCGAGGGAAATCCTGAGTTGGATGCTGCACCGTGCTGCACCTGCCTACTATCCGTCGTACATTCCCCAAGACGCTAACTGCGTCTCACCGTGGCTGCCAAGCTCGGACATAAGCTCAAAAGTCACCTTGGATGAAATCTCCGTGGCACAATGATCAAGCCCTTGCAAGATGACGGACCGCTGACCTCCTTCTGGCTCTTGCGCCCGGCCTCAGCATATGATCAGCTGCTTCTCGCAGCGTTTGTGGCAGCGTAGCGGTCATGTCTTGCCGAGCCTCCACATCTGGATGCTTGGAAGAGTTGAACCGGGCCTCACGACGCGTTGACAGAAGAACATTACCTGTCATGAGCAGACTGAGCCAACAGCCCGCACATTTCGCAGGTCAACAAGACCCTCGCGATCACAGCCAAGGCTGACAAAGGCCTTCCGAAATCTCAGATGGCAAGACATCTGGCTAGGACACTGCTTCTGCCAAGACTCAGTGTAGCCTGGCGGCACTTTTGGTTTGCAAGACTTTTCCCTTTTCAACACACCCCAGCAGGGTGCGAGTCTGAAGAAGCACGGTGAAACTCCATGTATGCATATGACGATGAGTCCTGACCTGAGCTGCCATCGCATTCTTTGAACTGGAAGCAGCACGTGTTACCTTAACAGTGATCTGTAGAGAGATTCTGAACCTGCACGTTTGCCGAGCGGTACATCTGCGATTGCCATGCATCGCGCAAGAACAGAATTGGCAGTGGCGTGGTCTCATGCAGGATCAAACATCATCGTAAAGGACGGCAGATTCAGGCACCACCAAAGGAGCCTGAGGAAAATAAGCTAGCAATCGCTCAGGTGCGCACATGCTTGCTCGATACGCTTGCTCGATGCCCACAGCTGTGTACTGGGCATTGTTGAGCAGCATTGGCTTCATATCAGTGGGGCAGGGCACATTGCTTGCTGTGTTTGAAGAAGTGTTTCCTGAACAGATGCTACAAGGGGCTGCCAGCCACCACACTTGCAAAAGTATGCTCCAGCCCTGTGGGCACGCACTGAATTAGCTGCGGCTGCGAGGAAAAAGCTAGTCTGCTCCCATCCGGGAGATGAAAGACAAGCTGTTCACAGCGAAATCTTTTTGGATACGATCTCAAGCCACTCGGACTCCTTTGGTATTCTGCACATTGCCTCAGAAGCTGTGAGCCTGTGAGTATGATCTGTTTCGAGCAAGGCGAGTAGGAATTCCTTGAAAGAAGCCTTCATCTCAGTGTCTTTCCGCCCGGATGGCGGGAGACGAAGCTTCTTGGAAGAGTCGTCCTGAGCCCCGGTAGGGACCACCTTGGACAGCAGCAGACTGTCAAGAAAGAAAAACCGAGTTGGCAACATGATCTGAGTCAAGGGTCTGTCCAGCTTGACACCTCCTTGCCGGCTATCCTGGGTTGCTGTTAAGGAACTTAATACAAATATCGGGGAAAGCAAATTACCTATTCCACATACCCATTAGGGTGACCTAGATTAAGTTCCTGAACAGCAACCCGGTGTCAGTGATGCGCCCAGGAGGCCCAGTGCAAAGACATCGCAGGGCCGCGTGGCTCCAACGGGCAGGATGTTGACATTAATGTCAGCCTCAAATCCGAGAACACTTGCGAACACTTTCTAGAGAAAAGACCATCCAAAGAGACAAGCGTCAACTGAATTATACGAATTATATCTTCCTACTCTGCTTGGCAAAGACACAAACCACTGCAAACCTACGCAAGCAACAAGCTGAGACCAGGGAAATAGCTGTTGGTCTTATCCAGGCAACTTCCATGGCCTCGTCGCTATCAAGGTCTCGGGCGCAGCCTAGGTCTATGACCTTCACCTGCACCGACTGGCTATCGAAACCACTGCTGGACTGGCTGGCGTGCACGACCACATTCTTCGAATGGAGGTCACGGTGGGCAATCCCGACTGAATGCAGGTAAGCAATTGCAGAAGCGATCTGTGTCAAACACTGCCGTCGGCAGGCCACATCCAGAACCATTCTGTCCCTGTCCCTGTCGTGCCATGGCAGCCACTTATTCAATGTGCTGCCATGACACATCTCCAGGATCATTGCAACTCCCTTGATGCCTTCATCAAGCTCATCTTCTAGACCATAAGCCTTGACGATTCTATCATGCTCAAGCCGACGCAGAACTTGATACTCTTTGCGAATGGCATCTCCATTCGTGCCTTCCTGGCAGCAGGTATCTTGATTTGGGACGTGGAGCGGGGGCCAGGCATGCACTGACCAGACTCATTTAAGTACCCTGCGCATACCTGTGCATACCTCTAAACAGCAAGCACCCATCTCTCAGCCGCCTGGCCAGTCTCTATCGAGACCTTCACTGCGTATTTCTGGTTTTCTCGGACAGCGGCATGAACTAGGAAGCCACTGTTCTGGCCGCGGCCGATGACACCTGGAACCAAGAGCCAGGGAATATCCCTGGATTGCTCAGGAGTCTAAGGTTTAAGGTTCAAGGTTTCTCTGCACAACCCCGCCTGTGATCTTGTAGCCCTTGCTTTCGAGCAATTCACGATAACTGCGAGAATCTCCCATTTTATCATTGGCGATGCTCAGCCCGGACTTGTACATGCTGGAGTTTGATCTTCTTGACAGCAAACTACTGCCGGATCTGGCACTGGCTCCACTGCTACTTTCAGAATCTGAACCAGAGCCATCATCGAACTTCCTCGCCTCGACGACTATCTTGAAACCTTTGGTTGTGCCCTCAGTGACAGGGGCACCGTTTGACACAGGTGCCGCATCGAGTGGCAGACCCAAAAAATGTTCGTCCTCGTACCCAGTCATAAGAAAAAGCGAACTAGTTTGCCTTGAGCCAAACTCTTGGAGGGCAGACTCAGGTGCAGCTGCATCCTTCCAAACTCCAATGGAAGCAGCGTGCCAAGTTAAGCATGAAAGCACCGTGGCAAGGTAACAGCATTAAGGCCTCGCGCACTACGGCGGCTCGTGCTGTACTCAGGGGTCCACGAAGAAGACGCCTGGTTTCAACTGAGAATTCCATCTTGGCCTTCGCGTCCTTTACGTCAAGGCCCTGGCAGCCAATCATCCAAGTCGACAGCTCCACGACCATCCACGTCCATGCCTGCACACAACCACGTCCTAGTCTCGGCAAAGTGCACTTGACGCACAAAGCCACTCAATATTCGGGTCATGTGGTCCAGCTCTGCTTGTCTTCAGAAAGGCTGTTTAGATGGTGCCACCTGCTCAAGGTATTAGGAACTACTTGTATTACAACCCTCCTTTCAATCATACTGCAAAGGAAGGAATGCTTAGAGCGGAGCTTCGAAGGAGTTCAACAACGTCTTCCTCGCTTGCCCCGACTCCCACCTGAAGCGACTGCGTTACATCTGCAGGGCTCAAGGGATGTGGGCGTCACCTGGGCCAGTCCTTGCCGCAGCTCCTGCAATGTCAGCAACGAGATGGTTGTGTAATATTGCCAGATTCAGATGGCTTCTACCCACACGGGGCTACACAAAAACGGCTTGACCTTTTACTCATCCGGACATGGCGTCATCGTTTTCTTCTTCTTCTTCTTATCGTTTAATGGGTTTTGGGCCACATGCATGTAACATGGTGTCTGTTGCAGTACCAAGAAGTGACTGAAACTATTCTGCTATGATCACTTATAATCTATTTTAGTCTACGATGATCTACTGCAATCTACTGTAATCTACTATAATCTAATATGGTCTGATGTAACGTACTATACTGTAATCTACCTTAACCTACCATAATCTACTGTCCATCATATACCATAATGTAGTTTAATCCCATGTAATCTACTATGATCTACGGTAACATGAGCCCACTCCCATCTACCATAATCTACGACCATCTGCTATAGTCAGGGATAAAATGTACACTTCATTTTGCCTGGCAACGCACGCCTGGACAGCGATACTTGCTAGGCAACACCGAACACATGTCATCGTTGAAATTGCAATGAATCAGGAGTTGAGGTTTCTGGGCGATGTGGGGTCAAAGGCACCTGAGGTGAAGACTTTGCAACATGCTCCGCTCAAATGATGCGAAAACAGGTCGGCATGTC